GAATAAATTATGCAGCTTTATGTTTTTACAATCTCTTTCTTTTCCTTTATTTTGTGTTGTTTTTGGGAGGTGATATTTCAGTAGTTTTTTTTTTTACTTGATTTTTATTTTTTTGTTTGTCACCATCATTGAGATTCAAAGACTAATTATTGATGTCTGTGTGTTTTTGAGTTCTGCCATAGATCAAACATTCTCATTGTAAATAGTGTTTTTATTTTATATTATTGGAGCTTTAGTGGTTTCATTTATGTATATTATTTATTTCTCACACATAATTAATATGATACTGAATTAAAAATCAAGCAGGAAAGGATGGCTATGTTATCATAAATAATCTCTTCAGACCAACACTTTAATTTTTTTCAGCTTTCCATGCTATATGTATAATTAGCGTAATTAACACTAACTATAGCCAAAAAAAAGACATTTATAGTAAGAAGTTGAAGAGCCTGACTAAAGCAGACTCTGTCCTCCATCATGGTGACTTCAAATGAACAACGGAAATTTCATTAAGAGCTTTTGTTCACATGACAGAAATAAAATAGGTGCAGCCTATCACCTCAGTAATAGGTGAAGCTCCATGATAAGTTGTTTAATTTGATGAGTTTTTTTTAAAGATGTTGAAAAATAAAAAAAATTGTGTAATTTGTTTTATTTTTATTGATTATTATTTTATTTAGAGTTTTTTTTTTCTCTCAGTTGATTTCATCTTTGGTTTTGGCTTGTGTTTTTCTGTCCTTCAGTGATTCTGCTGTTAACAGTTGTTCATCAATAATTCTCAATCCTCCTTTAATTAGACACTTAATTGTCTCATTAACTTCATCACTGTCTGAGTGTTCAGCCCTCTGTAGTGAGGACACTAGTGAGGATTTTGCTCTGGAATTTAAGGCTTACGTGTGTTCGAATGAAAAATACAGACTATGGGATTTGTTTTTAACAGAGATATTCTGGAAACTGAATTTACAAATGTAAAATGTTGAAAACAGCAGATTACTGGCAACCACTGCTGCCAGTATTTTGACATACATTTAACAGATATTTTACACAATAAGAGTTTGCTAATTAACACTCTGGGTGTTAAAAATTTTAACACTTTCAAAAGTGTTATTTTAACACTTACAGTGGTTCCCATATAAACACTGAGGGAGTGTTAATTTTAACTCTAAGGTAGTTAAATCTACTAAATCTAAAATTTGCAGTGTGAGATCGATAAAAATACAGACTGTTGAATGTGTTTTTAACAGAAATATTCTGTAAACTGAATTTATGAATGTTAAAAACAGCAGATTACTGGCAACCACAGCTGCTGGTATTTTTCCGTAAAATCTAAAAATGAAAAAAAAAGAAAAAGAAAAACAGCTGAACAGTTTTTGTGTTACCATTGTGGAGGATAATAGCGTCTCTGTTCAAGTCCAAGATGAACTGAGAGTATTTGATGTTATGCTGTATCTTCTTTTCTATAAAGGTAACTGTGTAGTTACTAATGCAGTCAAAATCTGTTTGCTAATTGCAATCACACATGAAAACATTATTGCATCTAAAGACTTTACATTTTATTCTACTAAGCTATGATTTTGTAAACTGAACATTGTATTAGTTCATGAAATATGGTTATTTTTTGTAAATTTATAGTTTATAAAACTTCCATGTTTTTCACAGAAAGATTCTGGCAACCACAGCTGCTGGTATTTTTTCGGAAATTTAACAGATATTTTACACAATAAGAGTTTGCTAATTAACACTCTCTTGGTGTTGACAATGTTAACACTTTCAAAAGTGTTATTTTTAACACTTATAGTGGTTCCCATATAAACTCTGAGGGAGTGTTAATTTTAACTCTAAGGTAGTTAAATTTACTATCTAAAATTCTATCTAAAACGTTGTGTTGCCAAGTGGGAGAACAAGAAATATTTGGTCGTCAGTGTTGCGTTTTATAATTTGCTGCAGTGAAGGTTTTGTTTTTATTTTCCCTCTATGATAGCGTAGCTGGACTCACGTGTGGATTATGCTGCACGCGACGCGTGACAGAAATGTGTGTCTAAGAAACATTTTTTACCCGATAGCTTTTCTCATCTGAAAATGGTGAAATCCAGATTTGCTGCTCGTCTCCTTTAATAAAAGACAGAGCTCCAGTATGTGTTGATTGTCCTGTCTCTACAGATTTGTTAAGTGAGCGACCAGTGGTTTTTGTTTGTTTATTCAGAGGCAAAGTTAGTTCGTCAGCAGTACTCTTTCAGTGTTTAGAGACAGACCTTAGTCAAATGGTTTCTAAGTTAATAAAGTTTACCGTACGATAATATATATACAATATTATGTACTGAAAAATCCACTGTAAATGCTGCTCTCTGAGTGTAAACATGTTAGCACCTCAATCAAACTTACACCCGCATTTTGTGACAGGAATAACATACATGGCTTTCTGACGCTACCTACCAAGTGCATCTAAGTTACAGAGAAATGTGAAGGATTTTTTTTTTGCAACAAACATTGCATGAAAGATACACGCTTCCAGCAATTCCTCGAATCAAATATCACTGACTTTCTCCTCTGCATCTGTGTGTTTGTTTTGCCTCTGTGAAAATCAGCACGTGCCCAAAACGGACACTCCCTTTTTTATGCTAATTTTTACTGACCTTACCCTCCTCTGACTCTCCCCCTACACGCACAGGCTATCCTGATTAGCTATGAGTTTTGATTGATTTATTTAAGTGTATTTATGTGAGAGTGAAGTCTGACAACAATAAATATTCTCATCAGGAATAAAACCACCTGTTTTTATACCTTTGCTGACTCTGCCGAGCTGTAGCTATAAAGTTAGGTCTGCTACTGTTATTTTATACTGGGAAGGCTACATCATTTATTTTATTATAACAATTTGCTAATAGTTCCTATGCAATGTTTTTATGGGTTGCTGAGAATACATTTCAGGTGTTCAATACATTGCATGTCAGTTTCGAAAATAAAAGTAGATGCTGGAAAAAGTGCCTAAAAGTCTTTGATTTTCATTAGGCTGTGTCTGTATGAACCCTGTATGAAATCAGTGTAAAATTTTCAATCTTGAGGTGATGGTAAATTTAGTGATGTTCAATTGTCAGCTCCCTTTGTCGTCAGGTTGTGTGATGTATGTTGCTGAACTGTATTCAAATGTTATAAATATTAAAAAAAACACATTTCGAAATATAACTGCAGTATGTCAATTTAGTTTATTTGTGTGTGCTGTGCTCATAGACTTTAGAAAGCGCTCATTTGTTTGATTTCTCTTCGAGAAGCTAAGCAAGTCTCAAAAATGTAAGGTCCTTGTACCCTCTCTGAGTCACTGGGGCCCTAGCTGCAATAAAGCGGCTTTGGGAGGGCCCAGCTTGCAAAAGGTTGAGAACCCCTGCTTTATGCAGATGCTGACAGGCATGTCTCATGTCTGCAAGGCAAAAATTCAGCTGTTTGTTCAGCTGTTACCCAATAACTTTTTTCAGTCAGGCACAGAATATACAAGTATTCCCTGTCTGCTTTACACATTTTAGAAAAACGTTTTGTTGTAATTGTGAATATATAGGAATAAAAATAGGCCATTTACAGCTTTCAAATCTGTGTCTGATCAATATGACCAAAATGACTTTTATGATCAATTATGTAAGAAACTCTGAAAACTGGACTGACAGTTTAAATTTACTTTAACTTCTATGTTAAGTGGCTTTGACACAATTTACATTGTAAAAGCACTAGATAAATAAGGATGACTTAAAGGGCACCTATGGTAAAAAATCTACTTTTCAAGCTGTTTGGACAGATCTGTGTGTTGGTATAGTGTATAGACCGTCATACTGAGGTGATATGAACACACCCAGTCCTTTTTTTCAATTTAACTACAAAAAAAGGGTCGGCCAATTGGAGCTGTTTTCAAATCGATCGCACCATTACGTAGGTGTGCGATCCCCCCGCCCACCGAATTGATTGACAGCTGCGCGCATTAACATGTTCCGGTAGTCACGTGTATATGTCAACAAGACCAGGCAGACATACGCAAAGCAACCAGGAATAAAAGGTCTGTTCTGTTCGCTAGGATCAGCAATCATCATCAAATGTGATTAAGAGTAAGTTTCACATGTTTAAAGTGTTTTAAAACAGAGTATGTGTGTAATTAATTACAGCGTTTTACTTCAGCTTTACTTCATCAGCACAGCCGCGTGTCAGAACAATTATAAAAGAAGACGCTTCAATCCCGGTTTGTGGAAGTTAAATCAGGTTTATTTTGTACATTAGCATAACAGATATCCACACAGTACTTGAGGTTAGCCTTAACTAAGCTAAGCGCGCTCTGTGTGTCTGCCTGCCTGCCTGCGTGTGTATCTGTGTGTGTGTGTGTGTGTGTGTTTGCGTGTGTGTGTGTGTGTGTGTGTGTGTGTGTGTGTGTGTGTGTGTGTGCTCGCGTAAACTTTGTAACGATATTGTGTGTGTGACTCATCAATGCAACTTCACAATACTGATTAGTAAAGGTTAGTTCTTACTGTAGTATCTCACAAACGCTACGTGAGACCTTCTTCCTTTAAGTCTGTCTGTTGTCTGACGCAGCTGAGGGAGGAGGCATGTAGAAACAGTGGGCGGGCAGAACTCGGCTTAAAGGCGCAGTCCGACAAAACCACCCCCTGCTGGAAATCAGTATAAAACAGCATCTTGTAAAAGGTATAATGAAAAATCTGATGGGTATTTTGATCTGAAACTTTATATACACATTCTAGAGACGCAAAAGACTTATATTAAATCTGAAAAAAGGGGTAACCTAGGTGCCCTTTAAGACTTAATGAAAAGACTTAATGAAAACTAATGTTTTATTTTTTTTTATTTCAGACCTAATTGAAGAAAACGAGGGGAGTAAACAGGAGAAACATCATGTCAAAATTGAGGAAAAAACTTTTTTACAGACAGGTATTTTAAAAAGGAGAGACAAGAATTGTTTCACCTGCACTCAGTGTGGAAAAAGTTTTGGAAGAAAATACATTCTTAAGATTCACATGAGGATCCACACTGGAGAGAAACCATTCACATGCACCCAGTGTGGGAAGAGTTTCAGCTTATCGTGGTCCCGTAATCTACACATGAGGATCCACACTGGAGAGAAACTATTCACATGCACTCAGTGTGGGAAGAGTTTCACCTGCTCATCATCCCTTAATCAACACATGAGGATCCACACTGGAGAGAAACCATTCACATGCACCCACTGTGGGAAGAGTTTCAGCTTATCGTGGTCCCGTAATCTACACATGAGGATCCACACTGGAGAGAAACCATTCACATGCACTCAGTGTGGGAAGAGTTTCAGCAGCTCATCACACTTTAATTACCACATGAGGGTCCACACTGGAGAGAAACTATTCACATGCACTCAGTGTGGGAAGAGTTTGAGCTGCTCATCATCCCTTAATCAACACATGAGGATCCACACTGGAGAGAAACCATTCACATGCCTTCAGTGTGGGAAGAGTTTCAGCAAATCATCAAACTTTATTCTACACATGATGATCCACACTGGAGAGAAACCATTCAAATGCACTCAGTGTGGAAAGAGTTTCAGCCAATCATCACACCTTAAACACCACACGAGAATCCACTCTGGAGAGAAACCATTCACATGCACTCAGTGTTGGAAGAGTTTCAGCCGCTCATCATACCTTAATCAACACATGAGGATCCACACTGGAGAGAAACCATTCACATGCACTCAGTGTGGGAAGAGTTTCAGCCGCTCATCATACCTTAATCAACACATGAGGATCCACACTGGAAAGAAACCATTCACATGCACTTAAGCCGCGGTCACACTAGACTTTTCTACCCATACACTTCCTTGCGTGTATTCCAGCATGTAGACTGTCTGTCTGTACCTGGGAGTATTTCATGACGTCTCTGAGTGTACTGCATTCATTCATGAGAAAGACTTTGTTCAAACCAATCAGTGCGCTCTATTGTGTATTCGGGGCAACTTTATTAATATGTATGATAGCTTTAAAGACTGTTTTACCTCAAACAGTGTTCAGACGGCAGAGAGACGACTAGTTGGGTTGCCAAAACAAGTGGGAGAAGAGGAATTGTTTAAAGTCAGTTCGTTAATATCACTACAATATTATGGACTGAAGGATCTGCTGTAAATGCTGCTCTCTGAGTGTAAACATGTAAACGCGTTTTTTGACAGGATAGTCTACACACGCACATGGCTTTCTGACTTACTAAGTGCATCTCAGTTACCGAGCAATGCAGTTTTTTTTTCTCTTATACAATGTGCGGTATCAAACATTCCACTGTCATTAAACAGTCAGTTACTGATGTCCATGTAAACAGTCTCTGTCTTTCTCCCCTGCGTCTGTGTGTTTGTTGTGCCTCTGAAAATTTTGTAGAAATGTGTTGCGCTCCTTGCGTTTACTGTAAACACAATGATGGCAACTGAGAGAAGAACAGTTTCATAAACATCTGGCAAACAGCATCTCTGCTGCTTAAAATCTTTTTGCAAGTGATTGTACAGGTGCGGATACATCTGTACTCTACTCTTCAGTGTATTCATGTAGCTAGTGTTGTTTTCGATGATGTTCTTTGTCTGACTCCCTGAATGAGAAACAAATCATCTATTTATTAGTAAAGTTTCTTTAATTTTAGATTCAAAATTATTTCTAGTTTACTACATTTACTGTTTTGAGTAGAATACAAACTTGATGAATATTTGATGATTTTGGCAGAGCGACAAGTATTTAGTTTTACAATATTAATACACTGTGATAATCCCAAGACTCCAGATTGGAATATGTGGTAAATCCTGATTGGATGCCTGCATTACTCATCAATGGGTATATAAAAGTTGTTGTGCTAGCTACCCCTGGACGCTGTGGCTACTCGGGAGTGCTCATGTCAAGACCTGCCATCTCATTGACTCTTTAACTTTATGGTTTTGTTTTGCATTACTTATATCATGTAGTTAAAGTGTTGTTGTGATTATATCCTAAGTTCTTTATCTTCATTATTATGCCTAGACATTTGTTAGTTGCTTTGATTGATTGTTCTGAGTTACATTTTATAATAAATCATTTGCATTCAGGCTATTTTGTTGTCTCATCTCACTTTTATGGTGCAACTCAAACAAGCGGGTCATAACATTTTGCAAAATGTGTCCGGTTGTTACTGAGATCTTGTCCTTTCAGTCATAACCATAGATGTGAGTAGGAACCTAGATTGAGTGGTAAATTTAGAACATTGCCTTTCATCTCAGCTACTTCACCACAACAGACAACCACATCAAATGCATTACTGCTGCCGCTGCACTGATCACTCTTTTAATCTCACATTCCATTTTTCATGAAAAAAAAAAAAAAACGCAGATACTCCATTTGGGGTAAAGACTCTCCAAACTGGAGATGGCCACCTTTTTACCAGTCAAGCACCATGGTTTCTGACTCAGAGGTGCTGTTTATTTCCCTGCCATGTCACACTCAGCAGCAAACCGTCCCACTGCATGCTGAAGGTCCATGTCCTATGAAGCCAAAAAAACAACGTTATCTGCCAATGGCAGAGACAGTCCTAGCCTGCACCTAAAATTCTGGCAGTAAAATTATTATATTTTTTTGAGGTCAGCCTCAAAAATAACACATTTACTAAACAAAATGAATAAATAGATGGATGGATAGACAATGTAAGTAAGTAAGGGAAGTAGGATGGCTTGTTCAACCATATAAGGAGAAGCACTTTGGCAATGAGACCAGCAGCGTGTAAGTACATTTAGACTTGTTTTCAGTTGTTTGTGTGTAGTGCTAGAAAGATTACTCAAAGTTTCCTTGGTTACTGTAAGAGCTTGTGTGTGGATCACGGTCAGTTTTGCACCCCTCGCCTCAGTTTTTGTTGTTGTATTGTGGGAACTCTTGAGGCATGTCAAGCTGAATTCTATCAGCAAGCGCTCAGGGGTGTATATAAGCAGCTAGTCTCACTGCGTGTGAAGACCGACGAGTGTAAAGACCATTGACTCTACCTGTGCGACTCCACCGAGCAAAGACACTGACAAAGCACCTGAGTACTTTATTTATTTATTTTACTTAATCTTTGCACTTATTATTGTTTTCATTGCACTTTTATTATGTGTTAACTAATTCCTGTTGTTACTAACACTCGCAAAACACGGGAGGTACGCTGCAGGCATAATTATCACAACCTTCGTTCAATACATGCATCTGCTATTTCACAACTCTCTCTCTGTGGGCCTCTGAAATTGTCAATCTGCTGTTCACAAGGCAGATTTTATTACCTCCATAGCTACATATTCTGACTATAATCTCATGGCTCTAACTGAGACCTGGTTGATTCCGGAGGACACTGCTACACATGCTACTCTTTCTGCTAATTTCTCTTTCTCCCACACTCCTCGTCAGACAGGGAGAGAGGGTGGAACTGGACTACTGATTTCCAAAGAATGGAAATTTACTCAGAGATAGTCACTGGCAAAGATCAGCTCCTTTGAATTCCATGCAGCCACCATTATCCACTCCTTCTACATAAATGTGGTTGTCATCTACCGCCCACCAGGTACATTAGGTCACTTCTTAGATGAACTGGATGTTCTTCTCTCATCTTTTTCTGTTTATGACACTCCCTTGTTGGTGCTAGGTGACTTCAACATCCACATTGAAAAACCTCAAGCTACTGACTTCCAGACTCTACTTGCCTCTTTTGACCTCAAAAAAGCACCTACTTCTGCTACTGATCTTATTTACACGCGACATTGCTTCACTGATCAAACACTGGTAACTCCACTACACACATCGGAATATTTCCTTTTGTCTCTCAACATCCACAGGACTCCTGAGCCACCATACACTCCAAAACAAGTTGCCTTTCGCAGAAACCTACACTCTCTCTCACCCAATAGACTATCCACCATTGTTTCAGACTCTCTTCCTCCATCTTACAAATTCTCTGCACTTGATTTCTGACTATCTGCTGCTTCTGATGCCATGTGAAAACTTCAGATTTTAGTGGCTTGTTTTTCTAGGGGTATGATTCACGCTTTGGGTGCAAGAGGTCCTGGGTTCAAAATTATGGCTTTTATAAAAAGGTGTTTCAAAGATTTCCAGTTTGTCAGCAGATAGTGTCACCACATAAAAAATTTCTTGCAAAGTGGCTTGCTGGTCTTGGAGTATGATTCTCGTTCATGCCATGACAAATCCCAGGTCCAAATTTCGGTTGAGCCCTTACAGTTGTCTGCTGTTTTGTAAGGGCGTTGTGGCTTACACAGATGCCTTTATAGTGTCGCCATGTAAAGTTGCTGTTTTGCAGTGGCTCGGTGGTCTAGGGGTATGATTCTCGCTTAGGGTGCCCTTGATTTGTTAGAGAAAAATTTCTGACTATCTGATACTTCTGACGCCATGTAAAATGTGAACACTTTAGTGGCTCGTTGGTCTAGGGCAGGGGTGTCCAAACTCGGTCCTCGAGGGCCGGTGTCCGGCATATTTTAGTTTCAACACCAATTAAACACACCTAAACCAGCTAATCAGGCTCTTCTAAATATACTAGAAAGCTCCTTGGAGTTGAAGTGTGTTGAAGGAAGTTGGAGCTAAACTATGCAGGACACCGGCCCTCCAGGACTGAGTTTGGACACCCCCGGGTATGATTCTCGTTTCGTGTGCGAGAGGTCCGGGGTTTTAAATCCCAGACAAGCCCTTGCAGGTGTCCTGCGTTTTACAGGGCATTATGTCTTTCATAAAAACGTCTTTCGAAGAATTCCAGTTTGTCAGCAGGGGTCCGTTCTTCGTATGTGGATTACTCAGTTAGCTGTATTTAGATATTGACGATTTGACACGATCCAGGATCGTTTCGTTCTTCAAAGTTGATCTGAGAGTTGTTGTCATAGCAACAGTTCTGCTAGGTCAAACCTGATCGGAAGCAGGTTAAATTCATATAAATAGGATTAGATCGGCTCAGTTCAAGCAAAGTAGTAGTACAGTAGTAGTTATATATACTTGGGAAAATGGTAAATATTTTTAAAATATTTTTAACTATGTATATATATATATATATATATATATATATATATATATATATATATAAATATATAGTTTATAGTTACTTATACAATAAATGAAGTTATACATATTAATAAAACTTATGCAATCTACACCCTCGAAATAAAAGTACAAAAACTGCCACCTGGTGGTGCAAAGAGAAAATGTATTGACATAAACTTTTTAAATTACTTTAGTACAAATTGTGTATAATAGAAATCCACAATATGTGACTTTTTTTAAAAGCAATAATACATTCATGCAGTCATAAACATGTTTTGACAGTTAATATGCCAGTGATTTGATGCTTCACAAAAGTTGCAGATGCCTTATCAATATTAAAATGCTTTTGTAAACAACAAGTTTTTCTTCACACTGATTAAAAAACCGGCTACTATAATAAAGAAAATCTTCTCTAAATGTAGAACTAAATACACTGATATGCCTTAAAATACATGATGAATACTCTTGTCTTGACACATGAAAGTGTAAAGCCTGCAGCTCACAACAAATGTGGAAGGTTATTGCGTTTCAAATTTAACAAGCCGTTTACTGCTAATTTGATGTAATTTTGCTCACATGGACTATTGAATATCAGATTATGTCAATACGCTGATGTGCCGTCAGCCAATCTTGGCATTGCTGATCATGATTTCGAGGATCGAAAGATCTGTCCTTCACAACACATGCAGCAATCTCAGATCAGTTCATCCAGACATTCTAATCTGATTCGCAAACTTGTTTGAAGAACCAAATTAGCGAGAGATCAGTTATCGAGATAAAAAGATCCAGGATCTGCCAAATCATCTTAAGCGAGGTACGAAGAACGGACCCCAGATAGTGTCACCACATAAATCATTCCTTGCATAGTGGCTTGCTGGTCTAGGAGTATGATTCTCAATCATGCCGTGAGAAATCCTAGGTTCAAATTTTGGTTGAGCCCTTACAGTTGTCCGCTGTTTTGTAAAGGCGTTGTGGCTTACACAGAGGCCTTTTTCTGAGAATGCTGGTTTGTCAGCAGATAGTTTTGCCATGTACGGTGGCTATCTTGCAGTGGCTTGTTGGTCTAGGGATATGATTCTCGCTTAAGGTGCGAGAGCTCCCGGGTTTAAATCCTGGATGAACCATCCTCTTTTCTGTTTTGGTCTGGTCTGGCCAGGCAGCAGAGGAAATGTCACTTTGCATGGTGAATCCAGTCACGAAAAGCATCATCTGCTATAGCTTGGAGAAGGGGTATACGTGTGTGTGGATTTCGGTCATACACTTTACATCTCCAGGCAGGAAAAAAAATCCTCAATAGGTTTGAGGAATGGAGAATATGGAGGGGGAGATAAACAACTAAAAAACATGGGTAGGCAGAGAACCAGTTATGAACCAGATAAGTTCTGATTTCTAAATTGCAATTCTGTGTGACAGGTGTTTACCTACATGATGAATCAGTATGCAAAGTAGGACAACTGACTTTACAATTGTGAATGACTGTGTTCCTTTTGAAAACAAAATATTTTCTCCATGAAAATTGAGCAAAATGCAGAGAATTGTGTGTTGTGTTTTGAAAAAAATGTGTTTTAATCCTGCAATTTGAGTGTAAAGCAGGAATTGTGCTTGTAATTTAGCAGAGTTGGTTCAGGGGGTTGGTGCATGTTACATGTTGTAGTCATTGTGTCTGAAGTACAATTAATTGTGTGTAAACAATTGGAAAAACCTGTAAGGTTTTGAGTTTTTTTAAGAAACAGACTGCTAAACAGCTCGCTGCGTAAACACTTGTAACTCTTAAGAAGAAGCAATTCTGGCACCTGTACATTTGGCACTACATGAACCCAGGATGTCTTGTTTACTAAACAGGCACTTTGACCAACTAAGCGACAGCGCTAACGCTGAAAAGGGAAAGATGATTTTGCACAAAGAAACTAAAAAAAGACAGCAAGTCTTAAAATGGCAACCAAAAGAGGTTGTTTAACTGTAAGAGACATTTGCCCAATAACAAAAATTGATGAAGAAAAAACAATAAAACACAAAAACCAGCATGTCAGGATGCAGAAAATGCTGACAAGATGGAAAGAAAATGGAAATCAGGACAAACATATGCTATCGGCCATTGAAAGATTTTCAGATCAGTAAAGCCACTCTCCCATAATCTGAGGGAAAGGTGCAGTTTGGATTTGAACCTAGCACCTGCTGTTCCCAAGACAGGTGCTCTGGCCAACTTAGTCTTAACACTAAAAGAAAAAACCAAAACGAAGTTTCATCTAAGACAGTGGGGGGGAGCAAAATTTACTATGCTTTCTACTCAGTTACTTTGCACATGCATAAAGAGGGTTTTGTACGACAAACCCAAAAGGCTTGATCTCAACAATAGGTGGCAGTCACTTTTCCCCAAAACCACAGGTTGCCTTCGAGCCTTTTTTTAAGCCCACTCTACCCTGCACCGCTTTCCAATCTCCCTTATTTATAACAGCTCAATTAAGTCATCAGCTTCATTGTTGAGTACCCCTGGTATCTGAGCCTGCACTGCGCAATGAAAGAAAAAAAGCAAAACTGGATGTACAGATGCGTAAAATGATGGAATTTCACCACACCTAAGTCAAGTGAAGAAAAGGGGCAAAACTTGCGACTCTGGTGGGACTCGAACCCACAACCTTTGCATGACTCAGCTCAAAGCCTAGAAGTCCGACGCTATTGATTGCACCGGAGAGCTTGAGTGCTCCAGCACTGTTCCACAGAAAGCACTTTTTGGTGCTCTCTGGCCTATAAAAACCAATCTCACTACGGACTAGGCACTGCTGGGGTTCAAACCCAGAATCTTCTGTTTACTAGAGAAGCACTTTGACCAACAAAGCCACAGCGTCAGACAGGAGCTAATTGTTTAATCAATAAAAGAAAAAAACAACTTACAGCGGTAGCGCTGCATGTGTGAATGTCTGGACTTGAAATATTAAAGTCTAATTGGTTTTGAATTACCACACCATGCTTTATAAAGACATTGTCCAAAGCCCTCTTGAACGAGCAGCGTTCTAAAGGATTTGAGTTTTGTTAAGTACCACACTGCTAAACAGCTTGCTGCGTAAACACTTGTAAATCTTGAGAAGAAGCAACTCTGGAAACTGTACATAAGGCACTGCTGGGATTTGAACCCAGGATCTCCTGTTTACTAGACAGGCGCTTTGACCAACTAAGCCACAGTACCAATGCTGAATACAGGGCAAGACGTTTTTGCACAAAGAGACTAAAAAAAGACAGCCAGTCTTAAAATAGCAACCAAAGAGGTTGCTATTTATTGATTATCAAACCATGTTATGCCATACCTCTCAACACTGGGATGTAAAAATATGGGACAACAATTAGCTTTAAAAAGAAGACATAGCAAACATTAGAAAATATTAACAATAACACAAAATATTTTGCCTAATAAAACCAATGGCCTATACAGAAAATAAATAAAGTTATAAAATCCCATTCACTTTTTACTGTATTTAAATATTGATTAGCATCCCAGCCGGCACACGACCGACCTTCAACGTTGAAATATGGTTGAAATAAGGTCAGATGTGTTTTGAACGTTGAAATAATGTTGATAGAACGTTTAATGTTGAACGGTTGAAAAACAGCCTGCATATGACAAGGCTTCAACGTTGAAATGTGGTTGAAAATACGTCAGTTGTTGCTTTAATGTTGAAACAATGTTGAATGATAAATGGTTGAAAAAAGTTACAGAAATCCTTGTACAAATCAACGTTGACATTTTTTTTTATCATGATCTGTATATTGAATTAACGTCATGGCTTCACCCAATATTCAACATGTTTGGTTACCATGGTATCGGAGGACTCGGCGCACGCGGTCACGCGCAGCGCTTCACTTCACTTCACTTCACTTAATTATGAACACCTGACCTGCAGTGCAGCAGAATTCAGAGGTAAGCGTGTTTTTAGATGCTTTAATGTTTTATTTACCCCCCGATTTTGTTTTACACACAGTGTATCTTAAATGTGACTTAGTGTAGTATTTCGAATTTTGAAGCATTTAAAACTTTCCAGTTTGGTTTAGTTTGCGCTCCGGTGACGCAGCTAAGCTTGAGGTAATGTCACATGTTTAACGTTAGTCTAAATGAGCGTTTTTATGGCAAATTCAAAGCGATAAACTCCAAACGCAGTTTAAAGTTACTGAGCAACGTTATAAAACAATATCATTATTATATGCTGTATTATTAGTGTTATTATTACAAAGTGAACTGCTGTCGTTTCACTGCTGTTGTTGTTTTTGCTTTTAGACATGTAACTTAACGTACTCCAGAGACGCAATAACTTGCACAGCATTGAATGGAAAAGGCTTTGTCCATGTACGTTTACTTTACCTTTAACTAAGCTATCTGTTAAATCTTCTTGGTGCTTTGGTTGGTGATATTCTTTTTCTAATCTGTTTGTTTATTGATTGTTAGGCTATGTTGTGATATTATATTGTTATATTGATATTATTATTGTGAAATCATGTTGTGATGTTATACTATGTGACAGTATTGGGGAACAAATATGTATTTAGTAAGAAATTAATGCTTAAATTACACTTTGTATAGTAGCAGATAAGAGGTGTAATGGGTTTTAATTTTCTGGGTTTTCTGGAAGGTCCAGTTGAGGGGCATCAAGAACACGCAGATGGCCTAAACCTGTGTCAGCCTGGACAGACTGCAGTTCTGCTATTCCACGCCAAGGCTTTTGTATGGATGTTTGACTACTACTGTGTTCTCTAAAGGTATTACTGGAGCAAAACAACAGCACCTGTTACAGTGAAATTTGTATTCATAAAAATAGTGATACATGTGTAGCAGGTCCAGTACATGTGATGTCATTGAGAAGTTGTTTTTATTAAATGTCATTAAAACAAATAAATAAACATGCTATTTAAATAAATCTAAATATTAAAAACTTGAGGATTAAGATGAGAAATGAAATGCATCATCTGTCTTGCGAAAGGGGTCTACTTAAGAATTCTGGTGTTTTCCAACTGAAAGGGATAGTTCTCCCAAGAATGAAAATTTACTCACATTTTACTCCCCAAATGGTTTAAAACCATTATGAGTTTATTTTGTTAAACACAAAAGAGGCTATTCTGAAAAAAAAAACTAAAAACCTGTAAACATTGACCTCCATAGTAGAAAAAAATACTATAGAAGTCAATGGTTATAGATTTGCAGCTTTCTTGAAAATATCTTCTTTTGTGTTCAACGTGGTCAGTAAATGACGACAGAATAAACATTTTGAACTATCCCTTTAATTCTCTGTCCTACATGAAGACTTTTGTAGAAGTGCTACTCCTTCTAGAGTTTTTCTCAACCATATGTCTAAAAAGCTTCAAACAGCTTTTACAGTACATGTAATGGTTTACAACAACTTGTAATTATTAGATGTGTTGAATGTTTCATGATTCTTTACTGCAGCCTTGGTTAAAAAAAATAAATAAAAAATTTTCGAGAATCTGAAATTTGAATTCTGGAAATGCTGGCACCGGTGGTGGCGAAGGGCTTCCTGACGATATCACACCTAATTCTTCACTTCTCTTAGTTAGGAATATTCAGATGGATGACTCAAAATTATTGAGTGTGGCGATTATTATAAGACAAATTTGGATTCAATAAAAAATAAATATTTGAATTTCACATTGTATAATAGCAGACACCAACTTAGTTGTAACCTCGTATTTCATTTATTGCAGGTTTTCTGGAAGCTCCATTTGAGGGCATCAAGGACATACTGATGGCCTAAACCAGTGTCAGCCTAGACAGACAGACAGACATCTATTGCAGTTCTGCTACACAAGACCAAACTCTCTGCTTTTGTATGGATGTCTGACTAATACGGTGTTCTCTAAAGGTATAACTGGAGCAAAACAACAGCATCCGTTACAGTGAAATTTGTGTTCATAAAAGATAGTGATATATGTGTAACAGGTCCAGTACATTTGTCATAAAGGTTAAATCACAGTAAGTACTGTAAAAATAACTTGTTTGCCTTTGCCACAACAGGTCATGGTATGTGCATACTGCTCGTAGTAAACACACACGCTGATCTGATGCGGGAGAGATATACGCAAACACATTTGTATTTACTGTTTTGTTTTGCCTCACTAAAGTGTTGTTGGAGCTTGGTATGTTCACAGTTGAAATCACTGAAGTCACATGGAACGTTTTGACAATGTGTTTTGTGCCTTATCTTGACAATGACCATCTTGGGACCATTGCTGTCTGTAGAGGATGAGGAGCATTTAATCTAAAATATTTTAGTTTGTGTTCTGAAGATTAACAGGTCTCTGGGATGACACAAGTAATTAATAACTGAACCTATATGAACACTTAATGTGACATGTAATAGTGAAATAGTGGTCCTACATTCACAAATGTGAGCCATTATTATAAGACCCCTATGAACATGCAATTTTTATGATACTAATAATAATGGAATAACTAATTGCTATTACTGTTGTGTTTGTGAGAGAGAATCAAACCATATATTCTACACATTTTCTTGATGATTTACTGAAATATTTGTCTACATGTTCCACTGTCACAGGTGCTCAGTTTTGCTGCAGTAATGCTAAACACAATAGATGTACTTTATGCAAAAAAAAAAAAAAAAACTACTAAATATTTAGCATGCAGACCTGCAAAGTGAAGGAGTAATGTCAGGTTTAGATTATAGCAGGAGTTTTCACTATTGTGAAAGTGAAGTCATTCATTCACAATGAATTGGAATAGCAAACCTCATTATTGATTTTGTAGGAAACTCACCTGGTGTTTGAGAAATAAATATGTATTTAAGTGCTAGACTGATATAGATGTTTTAGTGTTTTATACTTGATTCTTTGTCCCAGTGCCATCTTTTACCTCAAGTGTTTCTCTCAACCTATAAAACCTCAAACAGATGTAATGTATTTCACTTGTGATTCTTAGTTGTGAGTAATGTTTTTTATTTATTTTTTTTACTGCAGCCACTTTAAAAATGGGTATTTTGTAAACTTTGTAAACAGAATTGTATTTTGGAGATGGTGATGGTTGAAGCGTAGTTTAGTTACTTAGTTTAATTTAGTTAGCATCTGTCTTTCTGCAGACGGTAACACTTTACTAAAAGGTTGTATTAGTAAGTGTTAATGTATTTACTAACATGAACAAAGAACAATGAAGTATCTTTCATATAAAGAAAGTACAGTTCATGTCAGCTCAGTGCATTAATGTTAACAAGCATACATTTTGATTTTAATAGCATCGGGACATATTTCAATAAATAAAATGATTAATAAATGCTGTACAAGTATTTGTTCTTTGTTCATGTTAGTAAACATTAACTAACTTTAATTCATGAAACCTAATTAAAAAGTGACTATTTAATTGTATGCCTTTTTCTGTATTTGAGTGTACAGCATGTATAGTAACCTGCATGGTTTTAATGAACTATGTATGCTGTAAATGTTGCTGTATATTTAGAATAAATGAAATAATGAGGTGTGTATTAAATAAATTGATACACAGGCTAAGTTGTGTATTTGTGTCGTGTATTTTTAATTAGTAAAAATTTGTTTGCTATATTTATGGACTTTGCGTTGTATGTAATTTCTATTTAACTAGCGTTGAAATGTATGACGGTGAAACAACGTCACGGTATCAACGTTGATCCAATTTGCAAAATCGAAAGGTAATTCAACCTTCATTCAACGTCTACAAAACGACCACAATTCACCCATGAAGAAGGTAAGGGTGAAACAACGTTGTGATTTTAACGGTGAATCACCGGTGGTGGTCCGACGGTGAAACAACGTCACTATATAAACGTTGATCCAATTTGCAAAATCGAAAGGTAATCCAACGTTGATCCAACCATAGACCTGACGTTGATTCAACGTTGAATCACCGTTGAAATGCCGGCTGGGTAGGCTATATTTTGTGGCGTTTTGAACCTAAATAAGCACTAAATGTATGCTGTGTGTAGTTCTTCTGTAGTTGGTAACATATCGGAGACTGTAAGGGGCTGTATGTGTTCATATATGTTGCATTTATTAATTTAATATAATTACAGACGTCACTGTCATTGATCTGCAGTTATAATCAATTCATGTTCATAGAAAAGTTAGTAATAAACATTTATACAGAAGTATTTGTGTATGAAGCCTCTGTTTTGTGAAAAGGGCTTCTCATATGATTTGTGAATGACCTGTACAGCTTTACTGTAGACATTTTCTCTAGCGAAAATTATGTGACTGAAACTTTGTCATACACCACGCCCTCCAAAAGGCTACCCTTGGTAGTAGAAACGCAAGCCTGATAAAGGTAAACCATACCGTACTGTACCAGTCAGTGGAAACGAACCCTAACGGAGAAATCCAAAGGCAGTATCGGGTGCCTCGTCATTTTTGTAAAAAAAAAACAAAAAAAACACAGCAACACAGATTGATTACCAACTCACCGTAAAATGAAATATGCTCATGTAATACTTAAACAAACTTTTATTCCCTCTCTACAAAGAGTTAAAGAAAATCTGAAGCTAAGTAAGTGTATACACAGCACATTCATTGGTGTTAAATTTCAAGTGTTGTGGTAATTCAGAGTAAAGTGTTAAAATTCTAGAGTTAGATAAAGGTAAAATAACCCTCTCGGCGTTAGAAGCTGATTTGCCTCCTTGTCACACAGAGTAACACGTATCTACCTTTGTAGAAAACCCTTGTATTTGAGAAACTAATCAGAGTGTCTGAAATCTCGCCACACCCTCATTCACCTGACCCTTAAATTAGTCAATTAGTTTAGTCCACTAGACAGAGGGAATGACCACAAATAAGTGAATTCAGACAGCTGCTGTTGAACACCTGCTGTTAACAAGCACAATCACTGAAGGAATAAGAAATTGAAGGAAGAAATAAAACTACAGACACAGCCTCACACCAAACCAACTGAATTAAAACAGAGGATTAAACAACTCCATTAAATAACAGCATAAGCAGCTTCACTGATTACAGTTTGACTTCATTTCTGTAAGAATATTTGACAATGAAAAGAGGTTTAGATTTTTTTTATTAAAAATATTTTCTTTGACCTCACCATCATAGAGATCAGAGGCTGCTTATTTGAGCTCTTGAAGCTTTACACTTATATCCTAATGTTTCTCTGACTGTTATAGCTGTGTTTCTAAAACTCATCAGCTATAGCAAGAAAGGTCAAGAGAAACTATACTGTTTATGCTTAATTTTAATAGACATAATTTCAGGTGTATAATAAGTTGAATCATGAAAATATGCATATATAGTTGTATTAAAACTGCATGGGACAATACTACTGGCATTCTGCTGCTCTTCATAGAAGATACAACAAACAATTAGGATGCAATTAATAATTAGAGTGTCATGCACTAAACATTCAAGCTCCAGGTTACTCATTATGACACACAGCCATCAAGAATCAGGATATGAACCTCAACCGTGGTTGCTAAAAAAAAAAAAGCTGCATAGTTCATGCCGCAATGCATGCTGGGTACCAGCATAGTACAAAGCTCCCAGCATGCATTGCAGCATGAATAAATTATGCAGCTTCATGTTCTTACAATCTCTTTCTTTTCCTTTATTTTGTGTTGTTTTTGGGAGGTGATATTTCAGCAGAGTGTTTTTTTTACTTGATTTTTATTT